TGTATTACATGCATACTTAGTATATCAATTAACTGTAATAGCGGATAGAGATTCCAGGATTACAGATGTAAGTCATTGATCTGAGAGAGGTGATGATCCCTCCCTCAAGTCTAATTCCCCTTTCTCAACTGGATTCCACAAGGGGGGGGCATTCTATTTTCCTTCTCTATCCAACTACTGAAAGAACCCCTCGACTACCACTAGACCAAGATTCTACAATTTCTAACAAAACATATTTCATTGCTTCATCAATGTTATCTATCCCTAGACATATAAACGAATGTCGCGCAAATCTTCTTACAGGCGCTGAGCATGTAAATTTTGGGACTTCGACAGACAGACACACAGACAACCACGTCACCGAACACAATATCAAGACCAACATCATACCAAAAAAACTAGACCTGGAGCTTTTACTTTCAGTTTAGGAGTCCTTGCATGGTACATGTACAATCATATCAATCATAATAAATTTTTAGACTTGATATAAAACAGGAAATAACTGGAAGGACACATGGGGCTAATCATATTTGTCTCAACAATGCCAGTTTAAAAAAAAAAAAAGAAGCTCTGTGAGTAAGAAGATGTAGACAGTCTATGGCTACGGGCCGCGAAATAATTCATGGTAATATTATAGTTTATCCAGTATGGGTCAGACAACAGAATATCTATACATAGATTCTGAACACAACGTGTTGGGTAAAAACTGCTTTCTTACTCCCTTGAAGTAAGCTTTCTCATCTGCATCTTCTGTAAACATAAAAAGACATCGTTTAGAAATCATTGTGTTGTTCTATAGTTTTAAAAAAAATGAATAAAAATAAATCAAAACTCAAATATTCCAGCACATACCTGCATGCACCCTCATCCCATATGTCACAAAGCACACAAAAATTGTATACCATCCAACAATACACGGCGTTCCCTACTTTTTGGCCCAACCTTTATAAAAAATATGTCATGTAACCCCCCCAAACTCGATCCATACAGAAATATGGAAAATATATAAAAAATACAACAACAGAAAACCCAACGCAGACAAAATAAAACATACATATCCCGACTCTGTCACAACTCTTAAACCAGTTTGTGTGAGAAAAAGAAGAGACAACAAACACATTTATTCCCAACCCAACAATAAACAAATTCATTCATTCCCACAACCCCCCCCCCCCCAACCCATTTCTTTTTATTTTTACAAAAAACCTCCCAAACAAAACAGACATACAAACACAAAACCCACGATATTTATTCTCCTTCTCTTCACTCGTTTTTGTTTTAGCAAAGTGTTTTATGGCGCTCGCAACTGCATAAGGTCATATGAGCCCGCGGGACACACCTAATATTTTCAGTTGGTAGGAAACTTTGAATTTTGCCCTGGTGGCGGCCGAAGCCTACTCTTATCGATTTTACTCGAAGACAAAACAGAACAAAACAACACAAAACGAAACAAAACGAAAAAGTTTACGATAAAACGAAGCAAAGCAAAGCAAAGAATAATACACGAAACAAAACGAATCGAAAGAAAACCAAAAAGCAGAAAAAAGTACACGAACAACAACTCCCCCCCCCCTCCCCACCCAAAAAAAAAAGAAAAAAGAAAA